GACCATTCCGGGGTGGCGGGCCAGGCCTCGGCCCAGCTCCGGACTGAGGAGCGACCCATCCCCCTTGCCCCTCGCTCCGGAGCTCGGAGTACCGCCCAGTCACCTACCGGCCGAGCGCCGATCTCCCCCACCAGCGAGTGTAGCGCTCCCCTCGGCAACGATCTCCCGCCGCTGGTAGCCGACCGCGGCTCTCTGGGCCCACGATCGTCCGGCCCACGGTCGCCCCGCCCCACCTCGGCCCCGCCCCCTTATCGCCTTCCCGGCCGCCCCCGGGGCCACGCCTCCGCCGACGGCTGCAAATTTACCTCGCTTCGCGCCTTCTTGCTTTGGCCGAACCTAGACCCTTGGCCCCGCCTACTCCCGCAATCTAACCAATGAGCCAGCTCATCCCAGCCAGTTCCATCCTACCGCCCCAAGCAACGATTGGTTAACGAGGCCTCGTTTCCAGAAAAGGGCACTATTTCCGGACAGTGTTTATAGAGAAGAGATTGCTGGGCGGAGAAGGGATTGACAGAAGGCGGAGGCGGCCGGGGTGTTGGTTTAACTACACATGCGCGCTCGACTTCTGGCAGTCTTACGGGTTAAGTTCTGGAGGTTACGGGAAGGAAGGGCGATTGTGCGCATGCGTGGGCACTCCCCAGCCTCAGACCTGGTTACCTAGGAGACAGCGAGGCGCGGTCTCTCCCGGGTTTTGCTGTGCTTTCTCTTTGCTCGAGGCCGTGGCGGCTGAGGCAGGTGTGTGTGCGGCGGGGGGCGACGGGGAGGTTAGAAACACTTTTAGTGAGTACTTACTGTGTGCCCAGCGCTGTAGTCTCTGAGGATAAGAAAGTTTCTAGTGCTTGCCCCCGAGAAGCTTGGGGAGCTAAAGGCCTACACAGGTCAGACCTGGATAGGTCTGATGAGAAGGTACGGCTGGCTCTTTCCAAAGCCTGGGAAGCAACGTGGTGTGAAGCATATCCTCACGGGGTTTACAGCTTACGGAGCCTGGAAGAAGACTAGAGCTTTATTTATTTAAAAAAAAAGAAAAAGAAAAAGGACTTGAAAGAGTGGTCCTGAGCAGGTCTTTTCTCCAACACTTTCAGAGATGGGGAATAAGCACCCAGGTGTCAACAGTGCTTGTCTGGAGCGGGGACAGGGGGGAAGTGGTTAGAAAAGGTATGGATATTTTTTCTTTTCTAACTTTTGCTTTTCCGTATTTTCCAGTGCTTCCACAGTGTGCTTGTATTTTATTTATAATAAAGAAAAATTCTACACTTAAAAAATAGTTTGTAAAATAATAGATATGCTCCTCCCTGGGTACCCCACCCTCCTCAGTGGTCTACAGCAGGCAGGTGTGGTAAGTGGCTCTAGCAGTAGAGTTAGGCAGGCCCCATCCAGGGCTGTCTGGGGAAGTAAGAATTACCCCATCTCTGGAAGTGTTGGAGAGAAAAGACCTGCTCAGGATCACTTTTCAGACAGTCCTTCATAGCCCAAAGCCTGTTTCTGGAGATCTGCACCCAACAGACATCTTCATTGTGGGGGAATACCGAAGACAATTCATTTAGACAGAAAACTTACAATATAAGGGCCTCACCCACTCACTCAGGCCATAAATAAGTTTTCTTTGGCTGGCCCAATTTTTTTTTAATTTGAACTTGAGCAGAGCCTGCAGTTCCTCACTGTCCCTGCCGCCATTGTCTTACACCCAACCACTTAACCTTCTGTCATCTGCCTGGCCACTGAAGCATTTGTGGCTATGCTCCCAGTAGAGACCATGCTTTGGAGCTGGACAGTCTCTGTTGCATAAACTGGCCGTGCTACTAACTGGCTTGGGAGATGGTGGGCAGGAAAGAAGCTGGTGACCCTTAAAACTGCTTCAAACCCCAGGGTTTTCATTTCAGTGACTCATAGGGAGGGTTACAGGTCAGTATCAGCAAGCCTGAATTTAGGGCTTGCCTCTTCCACCACCTGTTTGCCTCTGGGCACACCACTTCTCAGGAAAGATGTGGGCACAAGGCCAGAGTCTGCAGACATCCCCTGGCTCACCTTTGCCTTCTCTGTCTTTCACCATTCCTTCTTCACTACTCTTAGTGCCCATGTACCCAGCTTCCCTTGATACTTCTCTGGGTCCCTGGCACACCCCACCCACCCTATCAAGATTCTGTCTTTAAATCTATACACTAACAATGTGTATTAGTGGGAGAGAGTGAACGTGTTGACTCAAAGTTACAACTCCCAAGAAGGAATTTCACATCAGGTTGCAGGAGGGAAACAGACCTCTACAGGTTAGTGAGGAAGATATTTGGGACCAGCAGGGCCTCGTGGTTTCAGCTACTTTTCTCAGGCCTTTCAAGCTCCGCTGAGTGTGGGGTGAGGTAAGAAACAACATAACACCCAGCCTGAGCAACGTGGAGTCTCTGAGCCTTGAAATGCTGGCACCTTCTGGAAGGAGAGCTTCATGGCAAAATTACTTCCTTCCAGCCCAGCCAACAACCTGAGACAGTTTCTAGCCCTGAGTCACTTGTGCAGCCTCAGCTCTGCTTTAAATAAAATAAATTGACATTTATAGGGTGACTCACACCTGGAGCAGTGAGCTAGGTTCTCAGCCATCAAAGATTTCCACATCCCACCCCAGTGGTTCAAGTCTGGAAATCGAAGGGCAAGACTGTGCTCTTCTGAAAAGAATAGCAGCTTCTGTTTTTTGAGAGCTTATGAAAAATAAACTGGATATTTCTAAGTGCTTAGTATGTGTAATAACCTCTCTGAATATTCGGTCCTGTGCAGGGTTTTCCAACCTGGCACTCTTAACATTTTGGATTGGATAATTGTTGTGGGGGGCTGTCATTACATACTGTAAGATGTTTAAGAGTATTCCTGGCCTCTGCCCACTAGTTGCTAGTAACACCATCCTCCTACACCCAGTTGTGACAATAAAAAATATCTTCAGATATTGACAAATGTCCCAAAGAGAGCAAAATTTCCCCCAGTTGAGAACCCTTGAAGTCTAACCGCATAGAAAAGGTACTAATATTATCACCCCCATTTTACAGATGAATAAACTGAGGCTTAGAGAAAACTAACTTGCCTAAGGTCACTTTGCTGTAATAGAAGACCTGGGATTCAAACAAGGTGTGACTCAGAGCTCCTGTTCTCCTGCATATGGGACTCTGCAAAGAGACTGTGGGCTTCAAGGAGCGAATTGCCCAATCACTTCTGTTGAAGAGTGATGAGTGAATGAATTTTGTGCATCAGTGAGAGGTTGCTATTCTTGGATCATTTCTCCTTTTCTGTTTGCTTTGGAAGCAAGGAAATTAAATTCTGATTTTTATTGACTTAGCACAGTTCATGGTACCCAGTCATGTCTAGTGAGAAAGTGGCTAGTGATTCATCTGTGCGTCTGTGGATCTTAGGGCCCCAGATTCTTGTGCAATTCTGAAATTATGCTTGAGAAGAACTCAGGTGTGAGGTTGAGATCAGAGATGACTTGAGGGGGTTGGGGGTGGATGTTCCTGAAGGAGAGGCAGTTTTACCTTCTCCAGCAGGGGCCTGGCCAAGGCTACAGCTGTTGTGCTGTCACTGCCCTCCTGGGCTTGGACCTGCCCCATTGCTGCCACCCAGTCTAGAGGTTTAAGGAGGGAACAGGGAGGCAGGAGAGGGAATGGATGCAGGCAGTGATATGCTGGAGCTCTCTTCCTATCCTGTGATCAGGACCTCATGTCGCTTGAAATCAGACATCATGGGTTTATACCATGGAAATTGGCAAACAGTATAAACCAGGGCTACTTACCCCCAAGCTGGTGGTTAAACATTTACCAGCATGCCACTGCATGCAGATTCTGGATCCTGATTGCTCCTCACCAATTCTGCTCCACATGGGGAGGTGAAAGGGGGCATGGTGAACCACAGAGCTATGGGACAAGTGGAAGAGCCATGGTGAGGAGAAAGGTGCCCATCTCCACAAAGGATGGAGCTGCCTGGGTGGGGGTCTCTGGAGCACTGGGCAAAAATGACCTTACCAAGAGCAGGTCCTGGCATACCTTTCTCAGACCCTTCCTGGCCTTAGGGAGCTGTGGGTTAAGGCTTGACTCAATACTTCTCACTTCCTGATTGGTTATCCCCTCCTAACGCACCTCCCTGCCTCTGGTCTCTTGACACCATCCTCAAAACTTCTGGTGGATCATGTGTTCCAGCCTCAATGTTCCCACATCTCCTGCCCTTCAACTCCTCCCCTTTAACTTTTCTTCTCAACCTCCAAATGTGGTCAAGTCTCCTCCAGCCTAAAAACAGACTAGTAAAGAAAAAAAACCCCTTCCCCTGTCCTGGCTTTCCCCTACACTATAACCTTCTTTTCTCTCTCAACCTCCAAACTTCTTGGTACCCCTGGTGTCTGGTTCATCTCCCACTTGCATGTACCTGCTGCAGTCTGGTTTCTGCCCACCAGCCCCTCTCTCTGTGACTCTTACTAATTGCTTTTGATTCAGATGACTTTGTCTCAGCTCCACCTGCTACCAGGCACAGATGTGATGCTCTGAGCACCTACCAATCAGGCCCTGGGGAGGGAGTGCCGGCCCTCCAGGCCCTGCCCTGCCGTTAGGGAGCTTCCTATCTAGTGGGTGGGCAGACTTTGAACCAAGTGACTACAGATGAGGACTTAAGTCATGATGAGGATAATGAGAGGATGGACAGGGCATACTGTATCAGGCAGGGCCCAACCAAGGAAGCAGAACTCACTCTTAGTTTTTAAACGTGAAATTTAATGCAAGGGGTGGGTTACACAGAATGGAAGAGCTGAGAAGCTCAGGAGAAGATGGTGAGGTAACCAGAAATCCACTATTAGTCTTGGGTTGGAGGGACTTGAGGGCAAAGCAGTATAATCAGTGGCTGAGGGCCAGGGTCACTTGGAAGAAGGTGGAACCACAGAGGAGAGACAATCCACTTCCACTGAGGTAAAGATTATCCTTTCCTTCTACCTTCCACCCTCTGGTCTCCTGCCAGAGCCTCTCATTGGCCCAGGACCTGCAGAGGTCAGTCACCTGCAGTGCTAAGCAGAGAAGATGAGAACTGGATGGGAGGGCAGTAGCCTAGGACCGTCACAGATATGGGATGCAAGAGAATGAGGGGGGACTAACTTAGTGGAGGGGGCTCAGAAAAGGCTTCCCTGGGGAACTAAACTGAGACTGAAAGGTGAAGGAGAGTTAGAGGAGAAAATATTCCTGGCAATCACTGGCATTTTTTGAAGACAACTTTTTTTAGAGCATTTTGAGGTTCACAGCAAAATTGAGCAGAAGGTACAGAGATTTCCCATCTACTCCCCACCCTCACACATGCAAAGCCTCCCCCATTATCAACATCCCCTACCAGAGTGGCACCTTGATTACTACTGATGAGCCTCAATTGACACATCATAATCGCCCAGAGTCCACAGTTTAAATTAAGTTTCACCCTTGCTGTTGTACATTCTGTGGGTTTGGACAAATCTATGATGACATGTATCCATCATTATAATATCATACAGACTACTTTCATTACCCTAAAACTCCTTTGTGCTCTGCCTATTCATTCTTTCCTCCTCCCATCCCGCCACCCCTGAACCCTGGCAACCGCTGTTAGTTTTACTGTCTCCATAGTAATAAATAAATAAATTGTGATATATCCAGACAATGAAATATTATTCAGTGCTAAAATGAAATGAGCTACCAAGCGTGAAAAGACTTTAATGCATATTACTTAGAAGACTTAAATGCGTATTACTAAGAGAAAGAAGACAATCTAAGGTTATATACTGTATGATTCCAACTATATGACATTTCTGGAAAAGGTAAAACTATGGAGACAATAAAAAGGTCAGTGGTATTCTCTTGCCCCATCTCTTCCTGAGGCTTCACAGATACTTTACTTTCGATTTCCTTCTCCCATTCTTAAAGATTGAGGCACACCCCCAAGTTTTAGTCCTAAGCCCCCCACTTCTCTGCACTTTCTCCCTTGGAATTCTCATCCAGTCCTGACTTCATTCAGTCATTCCGTAAACATTAATTCCATAAACATTAATTAATTAAACATAGTGTGTGCCAGGCATTGATTAGGCTCCTGGTAACACAGAGAGATGAATGAGTCATAAGGCCTGCCTTCAAAGAGGAGACGGGCAAAGTTGCAATATAACATGGAGGGTAGGATGTCCTGGGTGAGGTAAGAACACATAGAAGAGATCAAAGAAGGCTTCATGGAGGAGGTTGTGCTTGAGCCAATTTCTGCCAAGTACACTAGCAGTGAGCCAGATGAAGGAGGTGGGAAAAACATTTAGGTGGAAGGAATAACATGTGCAAAGGCACTGAGACAAGGGGCACGACAAGGCACATTTGGGGAACTGGGTGTGGGATGTGAGGGATGAGGTGAAAGAGAGCCTCAGTCTGGCCCTGTAGGCTGTGATCTGAATTGCAGTGGGCCTTGTAGGCCATATTTAGTAGGCTGGGCTGGGGAAAAGACATAACATTCCCAGAATGCAATTTTAGAAACATTTTTCTGTCTGCATTATGAAAGGTTTGGGGTGGTGGAGCAGGCTACAGAGTGGGAGGCTGCTTGGGGGCTTTCAATACAGGTGAGATATCATGGAGGGCTAGACTAGGGCAGGGCAAGGGGATGGGGACCCAGGACAGGTTAGCAAAATACAGAAAGATTCAGAATTGAGAAAATAAGTTGGATGGTAGGGTGTGGATGGAGGATGGGAGGGGTGAGTCTGGGATCATACTGCTGAGGTCAAGAGTCATAGGAGGAGACAGGTTCTGGGAGAAGAGAAGTGTCAGCTTTGGTTATAGTGTGTCTGGGGTGTGTCTGGCCCCATCAATTATCCTTCTTGACTATTGACTTTCAAATTAACACCTTCAGCTCTGACCTCAATCCTGAGCTCCAAACTGTAATTCCCAGGGGCCCATAGGGCATTTCCACTCTCTAGCCACCTGTCATCTCCAACTCTGCGTGGTCCTCCAAACCTGTTCCTTGCCCACCTCTTTCTACTGATGACATCACCATCAACCCCAGGAGTCTTCATTCCCTCCTCTTGCCATCTCACCTTGAGCCATGTTGATTCTCTCTGTAATGCCCTTTGTGTCTGTGCCCTCCGTTTGGCTCCCCTTTCTGCCAGTGCCCTCGTGATGTCTTGCTGTTTCCTCTTGCTTCCTGTCATTTTCATTCTGAGTCTTCCTACTCTGTTCTGTTACTCCCTTGCTCAAAACTCTCAGTGGCTCCCCATTGTCTCCTGATAAAGTACAAGCTTGTTATCTGGCTCTCAAGACCCCCACTTAACTTTTTTTGCTCCTAATTTTTACAACTTCCCAGCGGACACTCTTCTGTACTACTTACCATTGCCCCAAACCTCCTAGCGTCTTGTGCATCCAGGCCACAGGCTGTCCTGCAGACTGAAATGCAACTCTTCTGCCTCTAACCATCAAATCCCACCCATTCCCTCAAGGCCCCGATGAAATGCTTTCTCTCCAAGCACCGCATTTCCCAGTTCATTGCCTGCCTCTTCTCTAACACTTAGCAAGCACCCTGAGACAGCTTTTAATCACCATGCAGTGGGTTGGTATTTGGTAAATGTGTGTTGAACTGAATTGGCTCAAAAACCATTCCTCAGATCAAGAACCTGCTGTGGCTCCATCACTTCAGAAGCCTGTTCCTAGTGGCTTCCCAGGGTCTATCTTAGGTATTTAACCTTACTCCCTGACTGTTCCACCAAATATGTCTCTCATTCAACTTGAACTCAATGCTAGAAGTGTGAAAGATATAAAAATGAATAATCTTTCCTCCCTTCCCTTATCTAGCAGGGTGGATAAACTATGCATTCTGGTAGCTAACATAATATTAGCTTAAAATAATGTCTTTCACTCACAGGGTATCCTGCTATCCTTCTTTAAGATCAGAATTCTAATTTTGTTCACTGTGGTAACTGCTCAATTTTAAATGCTTCCTGGACTCCCTTGCAGCTAGTATGGCTAGGTGACAGAATTCTGGCCAGTGAGATGGACATGAAGTCTCTGGGTGGGGCTTCTAGGAAAACTTGCTATGGAGGACCAGCCCAGCTGGCACATGTCCTTTTGTCTTTTGTCCCTTGTCTTATCGTCCTTCTTCAGCCTGGAGGTGTAGCAGCCAGTGTTTGAGCATAAGCATGAAAATTTCATTCCCTGATGGCAGAGCAGAAAGCTAGATGGTCTTTGAGTCTCAGATGGCCTCATGGAACCGTCATACAACCAAGGACTTCCCACCTCCCAGGGTCTGCTGACCTCCAGCTCCTGGCTACCTGATGAAGTCACTGCAGTTGGGTTTCTGTTAGATGCAATATTGACTGGTATGACAAGATATATAAAATTTATCCAACTTGAGAATTCCCAACAGTGAAAAATGGCCCCAGAATTAAATCACACTGTGTCAGGCACCTAGTATATGATGGATAATGAGCTTATGCTTATGAGGGATTGTGTAACACATGGGAACAGTAGAGAAGGACAGGTCTGTAGCCTAGGTCAGTTGAGAATTCCACTCCTAGTTCCCAAGAAAGAGAGCCTTGCCTGGGAACAGCCGTGGAAGGAGATGAGTGACTTAATGGACTGGAGAAGGTGTTGGAAATGTCAGCCAAGGACTGAGTGGCTCCTGTGCTGATGAACCAGTCAGAACCAAGATATGTTTTACCTAGTTAAGATAAAAGATGCTCAAAAAATTAGGTGGAGGGAAAAACTCAGAGATTAGAACAGATGTCAGTCTGTGGAGATGTGAGTGCTTTCACAAGATCTGTGCCATCTGGGCAGAGCTTTCCTGTAGACCCACAGTGGGCACATGATTCCCCAGTGGTGACTGGACAGTGTGTGGTGGCCCATAGCTCCCAGCAACACTGGATCACATACTGAGAAAGTTCTTCTGTTTCCAGTTCTTTTTTTTTTTTCAAATTTGTCTATTCCTTGAATAATTCATGTGTGCACTTACTACAAATTTCAAAAGAGTGTGTTTCTCCCACCTCTGGCCCCAGATTCCATGATTTTGAAGCAACCATTCAAAAATACAGTTTCTTCCAGATATGTTTTATGCATCTACAAACACATAAATTCATACAGCCCCTTTTTAAACAATTTATGGAAACATGCTTTACACAACAGCTCTGTACTTTGTTTATTTCACTTGCCATATCAGTGAGTTCCATATTGTAGGTACTGAGCTGCCTCATCCTATTCCATTGTATGGCTGGTGTATAAGTTACCTGGTCCCCTATTGATGGACTTACTGTTTCTAACCATTTCCTGTTATAAGAACTGTTGCAGTAAATATTCTTATACCCATTTCATTTTTCATATTAATTAATCCATGCATTCAACAAATGTTTATTGAGCATCTGCTACGCACCAGGCCCACTCTGGGCACAGGGGGTTGGGGCATAGAGTAGTGAGCATGACCGACCCAGTCCTTGCATCGCAGAGCTGCCATTCCACAGTGGAGGAGAGCCACAGGATAAATCCCTAGAAGTGAGTCACACTTCCTTTCAACTCTTCTAATGAAGTCAAGAAGGAAATCTCACTTTGGTGAGAAAGTCTCACTTTAGTGCCAGTATGTCTTTAATACTACCGCTCTCTAATACTTGTTAATCTCTTTGAGACCCAGAATGTTGGTCTCAGGTTAGATTCTTTGGCAGGCCCCAGAGTCTAGCTAGAGTTTAATAATAATGTTTGGTTTTTATTGAATTTAGTTTTACATAGATTTTCCACCTACAGTCAAAATATGAAGGTTCCTTTCAAAATAATTAAAGTAAAAAAAAAAGGTGAGTCCATTTAGAGAAGAATGTTAAGGAAATAACATAGGTGAGAATTCAGAGGTGGCAAAAACCCATGAAGGTGACATCCCAGTGACTGAGGTTAAGAAATCACTGATGGAAACAAAGCCAGGAGAAGAGATGAGGCTTTTTATACTGTATTTGATGTTGATTTTTGTTTCCTCACCTATCTTTGGTATTGAAATAGCCTTGCCTCCATGTTTCTTCCTAGGCAGCTTGTTTATCATTTATAATTTACTTGGTAATTCTTATGGTTAGATTTCACTGAGCTTCTCTGATTGTGAATGCTTGTTTCATTCTGTTTTTGATGAACTGTTAACTAATTTGCATTCTCTCAGAAAAATCTCTTTCACTTGAATTCCCCAGATACCCCAACCTCTTTGTCATTGCTGGCTCTGGAGATATTTGGAAACACCTCCGCCAGAGGCGTTCATGCAGCACCCTTAGTCAGATTTTCATAATCTGTTTGAGGCTTGCTAAATAATGCTCTTTAAAGTGTAATATGATGAAATAATCAAACCCAAGTAGGTCTTTGTGGCGATCTCAAAGCCAAAACCTTCTGAATGATCTCCACAACCACTAGTGGGACTGTAATCACCCACGGCTTGTCAGCTAAACACACAAACAATTTGCTTGGTGGTTGCAAATATAAACAAATGGACATTTCACAAATGAGCTCTTTCTGCCAAGTAGATGGGCAGAGGTTGTGGGCTGTGGTCAGAGGGTGGGCGGTGCCTCGAGGCCCTGGGGCAGAGAACCTAGGATGATAAGAGGGATGAGGTTGGGGGTGGTGGCAAGCAGGGCTGTGGGCCACAAAGGAGCATCTGAGAGCTTGGAAAATGAGAAACAAAAAGATAAGGCCATCCATTAATGATTAAATCCTTGCGTTTTGAGATCTGATGGAAATTAACTGCTGATCATCAATTACTAAGGGCCTACCATGTACCAGGCACTGATTTAGGCATTTTGAAAGTAGTAACTCAGTGCTTCTCAAATTAAAAGTTTTTGAAGACCCCCTCCCTCCCCAAAGAGCTTTTGTTTCTGTGGATAATATTTGGAGCTGTGTTGTTGAATAACTGGCTTTCTGGGAGAAAAAAAATCCTGATTTGTAGTATTTGCCAGTTCCCATGGTGTAAGTACTTCCACCGTGGCCAATTTTAAGATTCCCACCTGACGTAACCAAATGTGAAAGGAGAGAGATGTGCACAATCAGCTCTCCCAAGCCAGTGACTCCAGCCCATTGCTGGGATATTTATCAATATTTAAGATATTAGAAATTAAAATTGAGAAAAAATGTAAACTATGCATCCATTTAAAATACTAACAAACCCATTATATGTTAATCCAAATCACATCAGTTGTGAAAATAACGGTTATTTTCCAAAATAAAAAATATTTCGTGAAAAGGATGACATTTTAAAAAATATTTTTGCAATTCTCTGTAATGTCTAGTTTCATCGAAGATAGCTGAATTCACACATCTTCTGCAATCTGTTGTGATGTCACATATCATATGGTCTCTGGAAAACACTGGAGGGCAATAAAGGTAAGTAATGTTTTACTATTACTATGAAAGTAGTTTTGACCTCTTGGACCCCCAGACAGTCCTGAGGACTCCCAGTGGTCCCTGGACCACCCTTTGAGAATTGCTGTACCAATGCATTTACTTTTTCCAAGCGGCCCAGTGAGGCAGGTTTCTTTCTTATTTCCTTATTTTACAAATGAGGAAACTGAGGCACAGAGAAGTTAGGTAACTTACCTGAGGGCACTAGTTAGAAAGTGGCAAAGTCAGGATTCAAACAAAATCAGTTTATAGAGATGGGACTGAGTTGGTGCCTGTCATTAGATGTGTGATCTTGGAGAAAATTAGTCTCTCTGAGTCTGAGGTATTGTCATTTGATTAAGCCATTGTGACCCTCTGGGCTTCATTAGACTTGACTTCCTCCCTAACACTCAGGTCTCACTGATGGGCCCCTCATCTGTGCTTCCTTAGCGTTCCCTCTTTTTTCTGCCCACATACCACTTTATCCCACACTGTTGTGGCATCATTTAATTGTCCCCATTGGACTGTACACTCCATGAGGGCAGATACTGCATCTACCTTGATTACAATTTTTTTTTAATGGAGATACTAAGGATTGAATCCAAGACCTTGTGCATGCTAAGTAAGCATGCGTTCTATGACTGAGCTATACCCCCAACCTGATGACAGTTGTTTTATCAGGGTCTGGAACAGGTGCTCGAAAATCTTTGCTGAAGAAAGAAATTAATAAATAAATGCACAGACATTTCACACGAAGGCAGGATGAGTCCCTCCTACCCAGGGTTCTCCTCTGTGGCTCCAGGGAGGGAGGGAATGGGCATAGAGGAGGGGAAGGGGGTTGTAAGCACTTACATACACTTGCCCAAAAGTGTTGCATCATCATAGTCACAGAAGGAACCACAGGCTACAAAAAGCCTCTTCCTAAAATCTCCAAAGCCATTCAGATCACCTCCTTTTTGCCTGCAGTCACCGCTACTCAATCTTCCCATCAGTTGGCATTCAGACACTCAGTTTAGCAGTCCCTCCTGATAGTTTTCATCCTTCTAGAAAAATCTCCATTTCCTCCTGTGGTGCTGGAGAGGGATGGGAAGCTCTCTGCCTCTTCCTTTCATATCCCAGGCTTTGTATGTTATCAGCAACCCCCCTACCCTTTTCTGTAAACCTTTTTATTTCATCACCTGTAGAAAGGGTCAGACACATAACAGTGAAGGTGTTCTTGTTCCAGCGTCCCATACCACTTGATGCCTAATTAGTGGCTGCATTTCTGGAGGCTCGTGACGCTGGGGAGATAGAGCCTGGCAGGTGGGAACCAGCTAGGTGGAGGCCATCTCCTCGGGCTGGAGCCTCTCAGCTTCCTCTTTTGCTATCTATATATGGTCCTTTTCAGCAGTGTGACCTTCTAGGATTCTCAGAAGCCGCTGAAGAGAAGTGTAATTGTGGGGGAGGGGGGGAAGCAGCACAGAGACAATCAACCAGGATTCTGCCTGGAAGGTCATGGAGCTGAGCCCTGGCACCAGAGACCTTTAAGAAGAAGCAAAAAGGAACTGAGAAAACAGCCAGGAGTCGGCTCAGCCTGGAGTTCCTGGAATTCTGCTTTGTGTGTGAGCTTCCCGTGGCTGCCAAGGAGCCTTCTGACTAACAGGAGATGACACTGGGAAGGGAGAGGGCGGGTAGAGAGACAGCTTGGGCTGATGGCTCTCCTGGGCACTGTCAGCTCTGCAGACTGGCTCCAGGTTTCCTCCGGGAGCTGGGAGCCGGGAGCCAGGAGGGTGGGTGGCTGCCTACTCTATGAGAGGTGGAGAAAGTCTACAAGTCAGGTTCTCCTCCCACCCAGGATCAAGCTCTCTGCCCACCTGGTCTGCAGCCGGCAACCAAACTGAGGCCACTGTCTCCCAAAGGCCAGCTTTAAAACATGGCCTTTACCCAGAAGGGAACACCTGACCCCACGACCATTTTTATGATTCAGTACTTGTCATCTTGGAAGGCATCTAACCTGGCCTGGGCCACAGGACTGATGGGTTTCAGTAGGAGCAAGGAGGAGGAGGGAGCAGGAGCCCCAGTGGGGTTGGGGTGGGGTGGGCTTTTTAGCAATGGATATAATTGGAATCAGAATTATTCCTTGGGTTGCAGACAAACCCAAGGATCTTTTTTCCTCCCTCCACCCAATGTCAGTGCAAGTGAAATCTTGCTCAAATAAAAATCAAGGGTAGCCTTGGTGTACTGTCGCCTTCTCACACTCTACCCCAAGAGCCATTCACACACCTGTCTCTTCCTCTTACACATCCGAGCTCCCAGTGAACGGAGGGTGGGTCTGTACTCCCCTCTGTATCCTGGTGTCCTGCCCTGGGCCTGGCACACTGGGAGGGCTCCGTAGGTGTTACATGAATGAATGAGTGAATGAATAAATGAAGCCACAAACATGAAGAACTATAGTCAAGGATGGGGTGTTGTTGGGAGGAGGCAGTAAATTCAGGAGGAGCTACAAGCAAAGGCAGACTGGGAAGAGGAGGTGGCGAATGCATGTGTCCCGCTGCTACGTACTGTGTTTTAAAGGGCTCCAAGCAGCTTCTCCTCCTCCTTCTCCTCCTCTGACCCCCAGCTGCCCTGGTCTCTAAATGCTCAGATAAGATAGTTAATCCATCCATTCAACAATTATTTATTGAATGCCTGAGTTCTGCAGGCTTGGGAATGAGACTTCCACATTGCCTGCCTCAATGGGCACCCAGTCTAGTGTCACTAAATAAGTAATAGCAATGAGCTGTGATGAGTGCTGTGACCTAGTGGGTCTCATGTTGCTGGGGTGACTGTACAATTTGGTCTCCTAACTAGGACACTATTGAGAGTAAAAGTGATTGAGTTCCCCAGGAAGCAGATTCTCAGATGATGATTCGTGTGTAGAAGGTTTATGAGGAATGTTTTGGGGATCGACACCTGCGGAAAGGAAAGGACAGAAGCCAGACTGGTCAGAGGGAGAAGTTGAGATGGGATACAATTTGCATGAAGCCCTCAGCCAACCCTGCAGGGAGCCCAGAGCTGAGATGGCCCTTCGGCATCATCTCCAGCTGGGGTGAGGGGGCCTAGCTGGTCTAACATCATGTTGACCAGTCACTGGATACTGGCGGCCTCTGGAAGGAGGTGTGACCTTGGGTGAGGCGGTTTACTTCCAAGGCTGAGGCAATGCCTGAAGAGGGCTGACAGCTGAAGGCATCTTCTGGTAGCATTCCCAGCAACTAGGGATTTGGGTGGTGCCTCACCGCATCTGCCACAGGGGCACTGACGACAGCCACATCAGGGCAACAGGTATAAACCAAGCTGTCTCAGGTGCCCCCAGCAGGAGCACCTGCTGGGCGTTTCATCTGGAACCCTGTGTCAGTGCAGGATGGCGTGAAGTTCCAGGCAACAGGAACAACTTCAGGGCTTGTTCAACCTGCAGCCTCTTTATCACTAGCCCTCCTCCTTCCCTTCATCTGTTTCCTTTGCATTAGAGGACCATTCGAGGCTTTTACATGCATTGTATCATTCACTTCATATGCATCATATCACTTAATTTGCAGTGAGGTTGGTATAATTATTATTCTCACCTCCAGATCCCGACCATCCAGAAGTCCTTTCACTGTGACCTCCAGAACAAAGCCCCAAACCGTTCACTTTCCCCATCTCTGTCTCTTTCCTAACTGCGGACGTTGTTTTGATTTTGAACCAAGATGGCCAACATTATGGAGCTGCTGAAAAGACAGGTGACAATGTGAACAAAAAAATTTAGAAGACCACCAAAGGAGCCTCAAGTAGAGCACATGAACTAAACGAATTTCAGGAAAGCCACAAATGTGATATTTGATCTGAAATATCATCACATTACCTGAAAGTTGAGAATATTCTCTCTCCAGAATAAACTGAGAGGCAGGAGAGGACAGTGGTTAGCGACATGGCTGCAGAGGTCAGAGGGCCTGGGTTCCTGTAATCTCGGGCCAGCTTCTTGACTTCTCTATGCTTCAGTTTCCTTGTCTGTGAAACGGAGGTGTTGATAACAGAACTATTACACAGGGTTGTTAGGAGAAGTAGTGAGTCATAGGGATAAGACATTTAGAATAGTGCTTGGGACACACGGGAAACGCTTCTCCAGGGTTAGCTATTGATATTACCCTGTGGGCTACCAAAGATGGTCCACGTTCAGCCTGGCAGATGTGACTATTGGTACTCCTCCTGGTCCCCATCTTCCTTCTGCTCCTGTCTCCAACATACCCTACCTCACTCCCGCATGGTGTCATTTATCCATTCAACACTTCTTGAGTGCCTACCCTTGAACCAGGCACTAAATTCTTGTTTTAGTCTTCTGCATCCCACAAGTCCCACCTTAGGCTTGCTTTTGCTGGGGATGGGAGACCCTGTCCCTGCCATTTCTTGTTCATGCTCAGGGTCATCTAGATGTAAAGCCAGTTTCCACATGGCCCAGATACCTCTTGTCCTCCCTTTTGGACCTCCAGCTGCTAGCTGGGAGAGAGCGTCATGAATGACCCCATGGCTCCTCCTTCTTAGACTCAAGAGGGTCAGTGGGAGGGGAGGCCCTTTGTAGCATGAGACCCTGCTCTCTCATGTGACTGCATTCTCCATGTGGCTGTGGCCTTGTGTACTCCTGGCCTGTGCCTCCTTTTTCTGGATGTCTCTCCTGATGTCAGGAAAGGCCCTAGAAGGGATGAGGGGTGGGGGGCAATAAGCCAAAGACAGCAGGGGGCAGAGCAAGTAGAAGAAAGAAGTGAGGCCAAGTGAAGCAAGAGGGCTTGAAAAGGAAGAAGGGAGGGAGGATGCTGATGACATTTGACATGAGTGAATGCATTGATGCCTTAATCTGAATAATAGTCCTGTGAGGTTAGTCCTATTATTTATCCCCATTTTACAGGGGAGGAGACTGAGGCAAAGATGGGTTATGCAACTTGCCCAAAGCCTTATGGCTTGTAAGTGGTAGAGCTGGAATTTGAGCTTAGAGAGTCTGACTCTACTCCCTGGATGGAGGACGATGCAGAAATTCCAAAAGGGCATCCTGAGGAGGGCTTGCACCTGACATACAACAGGCACTCAGTGACGAGTGTTGAATGGATGAGAGTTCCAGGGTTTGAGGTTGAAGGTGATGAGCTGACTCTTTACATAAATCCTTGGTGTCTGTTGGCACCGGCTAGTGAAGCATCTTGTCCTCCCCACCCTGTAATTCCTCAGCCGCCTTGATCAGGGCCCCCAAATCCATCAGCCAGAGGGAGACCTGGATTCACCAGCTGTGTGAGGAGGAAGATGGCTGTGGTGTGGGCACAGCTTGACATCAGTCACTTCCCACCCCTGGGACCAGAGGCAAGGAATTTAGCTTCACTTTCCTCTGTCAGAAAATAGGAATAGTAGGTCTGTCCTCACAGGGTTGTTGTAAAGATGAAATTGCACAAGGGCAGGCCCCACACAGGGCAAGGAGGCAACAAACAGACACTCTTATACTGCGGTTCTTAGTCACAAGCCCTGCTGCACAGATGGCTAATTGGGTCTTTATGGTTGACAAAGCCCTTTCTGCTCCCATCTCAGCCTGACTTGGATCCTCTTAGCAGGCAGGCAGGCACTGCAGAACCTCCCTGTCTATTTCACAGATGAGCAAACTGAAGCCCAGGAGGTCAGAGAGGCCTTGTGGAGGTCTGTGGAGGTCTGTGGGGGGCTGTGGGGGGCTGTCAGGAAGAGAGAGTGCCCTCTGGGTCCCAGAGCCCAGTGTGCCTGCCTGCCGGCCCCTCCTCCCTCAGCTGCTGAGCCCATCAGCACAGCAGGGATCTGCTGGCCCATAACTGGTCCCCGTGTCCCTTTCCAGCAGCAGACTGACCTCGTCCTTTGGAGAAAAACAGGAAGCTGGGCTCTGCCAGGAATCAGAACACACCCTTCCTCAGCTCTGGATGGGAGGGAGGATGCTGCAATGGTCGGGAGCACTGGGGACAGGGCACCAGACAGCGTGTGAGCGAGGTGCGGGCTCTGCCGGCCAAGCCAGGGTGGCCTGGACCTCACCACCTTGCTGAGGGACTTGGCTCAATAGGCTGGGCTTGCTCTGACCTTACTTTGCTGAGCACCCCCAGGGACCAAGAGGATGTGGGAATATGGGCCTTTCTCTCCCATATGGGGACAAAATTGTGAGACACCAGAGCCACATACGACTTTTGCCTTTGTGGGCTCCTTCCTCCATAAAAGATACTGAAAAATATATGATACAACTGAGATAAAGAACAAGGACCTACCATATAGCACAGAGAACTATATTCAATACCTTGTAATAACCTATAGTGAAAAAGAATCTGAAAAATATTAGATAAATATATATGTATAACTGAATCACTATGCTGTACACCTGAAACTAACACAGCATTGTAAATCTACTATACGTCAGTTAAAAACACACAAACCTATAATGAAAAAGAGTATGAAAACGAATATGTGTTCTATGTATGACTGAAACATTATGTTGTGCACCAGAAATTGACACAACATTGTAAACTGACTATACTTCAACAACAACAACAAAAGAATTCCAGGAAAAAAAAACCCCACACACACATCTCAAAATAGATACATATGATATGACTGCCTTGGTATGAAAATGAATATAATCCAAGATGGATTCATGATTATACATTCATTATTTTATTCAAGTTATCTTTTGATTTTAAAATAAATAAAAATGAAAACATTGGCATGGGCCCCTGAAAGTACTGTGGGCCCTGAGCCTAAAAGATAAGGCAGCTCTGTAGGGGAAGCTTCTCGTGTTTTCCTGTCCCGCAGAGGCTGAGCTCCCCCCAACATGACCCTGAAGCACGGGGATTAGCGCTGAAATGTTAGAGGGGAATGCCTGGCTCAGCCTCGAAATAGAGCCTCGCTGAGCCTCAGTTTCTCTTCTGTAGAATAGGGAGATGAGACTCAGATCCTGTGAAGTGTCTGCCCAGGACCTGCCTGGAGGGCCCCCTCCCTCTGCCGTTTTCACAGTGTGTGTGAGCCTCAGAGCCCAGCTGCAAGGTGCCTAGCTTTGGGGTTTGTTTCCCACATCTTTAACTTCCCCCTCCTCTCCTGTCTGTCCCGCGTGGACCCCTCTGTCAGAGTCAGACCCAAGGTAACAATGCATCTAATGAATCATGTGGATCCAGCTCACAAACCACTTCACCCCATAACCTCATCAATCCTCACAACACCCCATGAAGAATGTCTTATGTGATTATTCCTCCTGATTTCTCCGAAGGGATAGTAACCATCAGAGGTTAGGTAACTTGTCCAAGGTCACACAGCTGGCAGGGACAGAGCTGAGAAGAGTTAGCTCTGTCTATTTTGACCTCAGTTGGCTCTGTTAAACCTGACAACCAGTGTGTGTGTGTGTGTGTGTGTGTGTGTGTGTTGGCTTTTGTGACAAGGTAGGTAGCAAGGATTGGACTGACTGTGGAAGGGCTCAGGACCTTGCTGGGATGTGCTGACAGGGGGTTCATAGGTATAACAGGTCTCTTGTTGTCCCTTATGGGGTCCCTGAGGATCTGGACTTTTGTCTTTGCCCTGCTCCAGACACACCCCTCCCTCCCCCCTCCGCCCTGTGCTCCTGCTCCTCTTACTAGCTGGGTCCTTACTGGCAACATAGTTAGGCACCTACTGGGTGCAGAACCGAGGGAAGAAAGTGGCTTAAGATCTGCTGCTATTTTATATTAGAGCTCTAGAGCCATCTTTAATTTTTTAACTTGTTATTGAAAAACAATTTCCTATCTTCAAATATACATAAATTCACAAATAGGAATATATTAAAAAGCTGACACTCATGTTAGATTTCAGTTAAAGAAGTCTTAGGCCCAAGATGAAGAAGTCCCAGCTCATAAATATTGTTTAAGTATAAAAGCTGACTACTGAGTAGTGTATAAGAACTGTTTTTAAAGACTTTGAGAGAGAGAGTGAATTTCCAGCTGGCAGGGATGGTTTGGGTTAAGGTTTTTATTTCTGTGATGTTTCTAATTAAAAACTTCCAGGCTCCTCTAGCTGAATTGGGCCACTTTGGTATGTCGTTATTTTGGTATTTCCTAAGAATCTGAGCTGGGGCCAGATGACAAATGTACTCCTCAGCCCTTTACCCATGGACTCCGTGGGCTTGTGGCCTGAGATACCACTGGTCCAGACCCTCCTTTGCCAGAGGAAGAGGCTGGAGGGGGCAGATCACCCAGCTGGTAGGTGCTGAGATGGAGGGTGTATCCACTTGCTGGGGGTGGGGGGGCGGGTTCTTAATGATCCAAATCCAATCCTGTCACTGTCCTGCCTGAAGCTCTCAGGGGCCCCCTCTGGCTCTCCCAGCAGCCCACTTGTGCCCCTCCCAGCCCAGTGGGACCATGCCCCTTGCCTGCTGGAACCAGCTGGTTCTTATTCCACATCTCACTTCCTGCTTCTCTGGCTGAAGCAGGCTCACTGTTACTCCCTGTTCCAGCCTCCTGGTGGCCTTTTTCACAGCCTTCAGCATCTGGAAATGACCCGTTTATGTGCATAAGTGTTTGAGTAGAGTCTTTGAACTGAGTCCTTCTGCCTCACTGGGCTGTAAGCTCCCCGAGGGCCAGGTGTTGTCCTGTCCTACACCCAGCGCACAGCCCAGTGCCCAGCCCACAAGAGGCACCAGGGAAATAGTTCTTGAAGCAATTATTATATGTAAGCATACAGTATTAATAAAATAGGATAATGACTTCAACAACTGTTTACAGAAAGATAGGCTTAGGAGTCACACAGACCTGGGTTCATGCTCCATCTCAAGCAAGTCTCAGGTTTGTCATCTTCAAAGCGTGGGTAATAATCCCACCTGGCTCACTGGGCAGCTGTGGGGAAAGTGAGATGACACTTAGCAGAACGCCTGTTGGGGCAGAGCACGTGCTGAACAAATGCAAGGAGAGCAAGTTGCTGTGATGGGGGTTCCCTCTGATGACGAGGGTGGGTGAAGGCCCCGGACACATTGTACAAGATCGCACAGCTTTGTCTATGTCAGTGGTGGACATCCATTACAACCACGGCCGTTCTACCCTATGCTGGCTCCATCTGATTTAGAGTGGCTTTACTGCCATGGTTCCCAAACTTGGCTACATGTTGGAATCAAAGAGGGAGTTAAAAAAAACTCCTACTGCCTGCGTTTGGCTCCAGAGCTTCTGATGTAATTGACCTGGGGCATGACCAGGACATCAGGATTTTTTTTTTGATAGAGGTCCTGGGGATTGAACCCAGGACCTGCTGTATGCTAAGTGACTTTACCTACCACTGAGCTATACACCCCCTACCCAACCAGCTGGGACTTTAAGAATGACCTCAGGGGATTCTACCATGCAGCCAAGGGTGAGACCCCGCTGCCTTACCCCAGGTGTGACTTCAGTGGCCTCCTACCTTCTCACCACCTTCTTCCCACCTGCCTGAAATTCAGACACAGCACAAAGGCTTTCATGGCATGATAGAGATAAATGGCTTAAAATGCAGAGAATGAATTGAGAGAAAATGGCTGAATCTCTTTCCTGCACATGCTCTCTCAGTCAGCTGTCAGGTTCTTTTCTGACTTCCTGGCAGGAAGAGGATTAGAGCAGAGGGGCTGGGCCCTGGGAGTTGGAAGCGAAAGGGAGAGAGGATCTGGTGTCTGGAGACCCATGTCCTAACCTCAGTTTTCCCACCATCTAAATATGGACAAATCACCCCTTCCCTCCAATCTAGGTCTCAGTTCCCTCTCCATGAAATGACATTCCTTTGAAAGTCAGCATCTTGGAGCTAGGGCCAGTTCCACAGTCCCTAAGAACCAGCCTTCCAGCAATCCTAAAGCCTGATCATCCACACTGACTTCTTAGACTCTAGCTTGCCCTGCTTTCTGAAGTTTATTTAACACAAGTGATTATAAAGCTTAATTCCCAGAAGACATCATTGTACTTTTGACGTTATGAAGCAACTCGTAGTAAACTTATGAGGTGATGATAAGTAGAGGTCATGGGGGGATCAGCTTTTTATTGCATAGATGAGAATCTTCTATAATCAGCTGGGGGCTTATCTGCAGTTAGATGTTGCCTAAGAGAGTGAACTCATTTCCTCTCGAGCAGATCAACAGGGAGCTACTGTAATAATTTTTGCACAAGTTATTTAAAGGGAGCCCCATTCTTTTTCCTGTGGCCACCAATTAACTGATGAGATTTTGTAGTTCCTGGAAAAAAAGAGGAAATGGAAGTTCCAAGGAAGAGACAGGAGGCCTAACAAGCTCTTTTAATGAGACACAGAATAAGCAGGTTGAGGTAGGGAAATACCTTGGAAGCAGCCTGGAGGGTAGGCCCTGGAAGGTGTCCCTGGGCAACTATTCTTGCTTTTCAGATCTTTTTCCAAGGTCAGGGCCGAGGACCTCCCAGCCACAGAGCCCAGTCAGTCTCCAATTATTGCACAAATCACAGACATCTAGTGCCAGCCCAATCAGGCCCAAGCCCAACTTTTTTGAATGTTAAAACTTCACATTTGAGGTCAAGCTCTGTTGGACACAGCGAGGAAGGGTATTTGGGAAAGGACAGACTTTTCCCAGAAACTCTCTGACACCCAGCCCGCCTCTCCCCAGTTCAGATTTGGGAGCACATCCAAAGGCACCATCATGAAGATGGCTCAGATACCCCGGGGAAGCTTCTAGATGACATGTATTTAATCACCTCAGAATATACATTGTCTGAGTCTCCTTGTGTCTAGCACTGAGTTAGATGCTGTAGGAGCTGGGAGGTAAGGAAACTTGGCATTATCCCTATGAGTGGAACAATTCTGTGTACCAAGCACTGTGGATTCAGTCTGGGGAATCAGACATGGGAAAGACCTGCCCCTATTCTGGAGGGGTTCATAGTTCATGGGAGAGACAAACAACAGACCTGGCTCAACTCTCCTGCTCCAGGACTAGACCCCTGCTGGACAGACCCTGGCTCTTTGTCCCACACACAGTGATCATTAACCCTCTCTGCACTATTGCTCCCTCCCATTTCCCACTGGCTGCTTAATGGGCTATCTGATCGACCCATCCTCCAAATAATAATTTATCTTGATTATTGTGTTTCTTGGCACTTCCTGAAATTTTTGCTCTTGAGACAAATACCTAACTCATCTAACCCTAATTTAGGCCTGGACAGACCTCTGACATGGCCACACTATTCAAGCAGCTGCCGGTCAGAGGAGTGAGTGCTTGAAACAAAGCCCTGTGAGAGTTCAGAGGAATACTGAGTAATTCTG